GTGTGAGTGATAGAGATAGTGAGAGAGAGAGTGGGTGAGTGAGAGAGTTTTTGATATAGCGCGCACGCGATTCTCTCACTTAATAAGTGTATTTCAAAAAACTACATCTCAATATATATATCTTTTCACTCATCTCTATCTACATATATATATTTTTTTTTTATCAATACATATATCTATATATATATATTTATTTATATATATATCTATATATATATATATATATATATATATATATATATATATATATATATATATATATATATATATATATATATATATATATATATATATATATATATATATATATATATATATATATATATATATATTACAATTTTTATTTTTTTTGCCCCTCTATGCATGTTCCAAAGATGTAAGAGAAATTGTATATATATAAGCCAATCTTTCATAGCTTCTTTTGTACAAATATACGTTGTTTTCCCTTTTGGGTTTTTCATTTCGATCTTGTCTTTTGTTCGATCATTTTCACCAACCGAATAATTTGCTCTCTATCTCAAAATGGCTTTTGCGGTTAGAGTGTCGTTTTTCATCGTTATTTTCGTAATCATGCAAATACAAGTTTTGATTAGTGCAAACCACCAAGTCCCTTGTTTCTTCGTATTTGGGGACTCGTTAGTTGATAATGGCAATAATAATCGACTAGTTACCGAGGCTAAGGTTGACTATCTTCCTTATGGAGTCGATTTTCCTCAAGGACCTACCGGAAGATTCACAAACGGCCGTAACACAGCTGATATTCTTGGTTCTGTCTCTATTTGATCATTGTGTGTTTGTGTGTGTGAATCTACATGCATAGTGTTTTTTCTTCCTAATCGATTTCGAATTTCAAGAAATTTATTGGGTTTATTGCATTCAACACCCTATATTTACTTTAATTGTTAAAAAAATCTCCCTATTAGTAATATTAACAAAAAAACCCTCATGTGATTCATATTTTAATTAGCGGACGACCGTCTAAAATAACCCCACTTTTAGGGGGCTAGATGCTAAAAGATGCATTATAGGGAGGGTATTTTTGGTAATATCAATAATACAATGAGTTTTTTTAACAAATTCGATATAACACAGGGATACTAAATGCAATAAACTCTCTGACATTTATTATTGCATTATCATTCTCTATTTTCATGTTGTTAATTCGTGCTAACATGAACTCAAAATTAAAATTGCAGCTCAACTTCTCGGTTTCAACTCAAGCGTTCCACCGTTTGCAACTGCACAAGGCAACGACGTCATCAAAGGTGTGAACTACGCATCCGGATCATCAGGAATTCGTAGTGAAACCGGAGAACAATTGGTACAATATAATATTGCTTATACATTAATCAATTAAAAATAAAAATTGTTCCAATCAAATGGTTAATTTTTCCTTAAATTCTTAAATTTAACAAAATGATGAACTAATTAATATAATCGTTCTGTCCTTTGTTGTCGTCGTCGTCGTCGTATTAGGGCGATCGAATCAGCCTGGACAGACAGCTGCAAAATCACGAAACCACATTTTCGAGCATTTCTCGTTTGCTCGGAAACGACACGTCAGCAAAAATACACCTCAGCAAATGTGTGTATTATTTTGTAGTTGGAAGCAATGATTACATCAATAATTACAATATGCCTGAGTACTATACCACCAGCACTAAGTACAATCCACAGGAATATTCCAGTATCTTAGTCCAACAGTATTCTCAGCAGCTTAATGTCAGTATTTCATTTTTTCTTTACATTAAATTTATTAATTATTATTTTCCATTAATTATTTATATATTTTTTTTAATTTTTTTTTATGATGAACAAATAATTTGTACAGAGTTTGTACAACAATTTTGGGGCAAGAAAAGTAGTAGTTTCTGGGGTGGGCCCATTAGGGTGCACGCCAGCAGAGATAGCCAAGGGCACTAACGGAACTGCTTGTGCTGACTCCGTTAATGACGCCGTTACGTTATTTAACGACAAGCTGAAGCTTATGGTTAATGGGCTCAATCAAAATCTGACAGGTGCTGAATTTGTGTACAATGGCGCCATGGATTTGAGGCCTAAAGATTTGATTGCTCTTGGTCAGTTTTATTTAATTTTAACAGTCTTTAATTCTACAGTTTTAATTAGGGTAAATAGCACTTAACCCTCATAGTTTAACCTTTTTGCAAATGACCCCTGACCCCTGTACTTCAATATAAGCACATAGCCCCTCGTATATTCAAAAACTTTATCTTCCTAATGAGCATGATTATTTGGCAAGTGTAATACCATAAGGCAGTTATGTGCTTATATTAAAATTAAAGGGGGTATTGTGCTTATATTTAAAGTATAAAGGGGTCATATGCAAAAAAATTAAAACCCAGGGTGTTAAATACTATTTAGCCTTTTAATTACTTTCTCCACTTCCGAATATTTGAAAATAATTGCCACACACATTTTAAATGCTATCCAGTGTGATAGATTGATTATCTCACTAAGGCCCAATTGCTTGTGCTCGAGCTTTTATCGAGTCTGCTCGCGCGATCCTTTGGTGGGGACATCAAATCGATTAAGAATGGAAGAATAGTAAGAGAAGTGTTGTGGAAAATAATACCTTTTTTTTCGAATGACATCTGAATTAATTTGAGTTCGAAATTAACTCTACCTAACGTCAAATTTTGATGATCCAACATCGGTTAGGGTGACAAAATCGTGCATTTTTACCCTTTTTTGGTAATATATAAAAAAATAATTATCTTTTTTTCGAGAATTTAGAATTTACATTTTAGTTTCGGGTTATTCTTAAATTTGTGAGTTCTATATATATTATGAGTAGTTGCTAACTCAATCGATCTTTGCCATTTATAATTATAGGCAAATTACGGCCACCCTTGAGGTATGACCAAATTACGAAAAAAAATCCTCTTGTTTGGGTAATTACAGCCACCCCCTCTTAAATATATGTACATAAAATTTATATAATTCGGTTATTTACCTAACCAAATCGTATATTCAGTTCAGTAAACGGTATAAAATGTTGCCGTACCGAATTTTCGGTTCGGTTTTACCGATTTAACATCCCTAAATTTACCTCTGGATGGGTATTTTCGTAAGATAATAGATAATTGAGAGGGGTGGCTGCAATTACCCAAACATGAGGAGGATTTTCGTAATTTGACCATAACTCAGAGGGTGATCGTGATTTGCCCTATAATTATTTACACTCGGTAATTTAGTCTTGAAAAAATAAATACTAAATCCCTATTCATATCTTTATTTATTTAATTAATTTTAATTTTGTGGTGATCAGGTATAAGAATAGTGGGTAAACCATGCTGCAAAGTGTCGAGTAAGACAGGGCAATGCATAAAGGGAGAAAAGCCATGCCTTGTTAGGGCATTGCATGCTTTCTTTGACAATTTCCATCCAACTGAGGTTGTCAACAACGCTGTCGCTGCTGCTACTTATATTCAAATCCTCAAACTTCTTCATTAATTATTATTTGATTAATTATTACTAGGGATGGCAATAGGTACGGGTTTGCCGGGTCTTAGATTCGGAACCGACCCGTTTGGGGGGGGGGGGGGGGGGGGCTGGGTAAGTTAAATGATTTTGGGTCGGGTAATGTGTTTAAGTTTCTAGAACTGGATGGTTCTGGGTCGGGTTACGGGTCTTATAGGAACCGACCTAGAACCCACCCGTATAAATATATTATATTTTATAAATCTATATATAAAAATGAATTTATGATTTAATTTATCAAACTTTCAATTTTCATCTTGTCTATTCTCATTTACCCATTTTTCACCTTTTCATATTTTTGAATCTCATTTCTCGTAAGTAAAATCTATCACTTGTCGACAACCGTTAGCCGTTTTGTCTTTTGAACTTTACTTATCGTAGAAGTTAAATATAATTAATTATATAATTTTATTATTCACTTTATATCACTTGAAGAAGTATTTTAAAATATTGCATTTTAATTTTAAGATTATTTTGTTAAAATATAGAAGCAAAATATTATGAAAGTTAAAAAATAATAAACTTTTTTTTTTTATGTTAACGGGCCTAGCGAGTCTGGCGGGTCAGAACTGTTAATTTCGGTATGGGTTGGGGCGGTTTTGGGTCTAAGCTGAACAGGGTCGACGCGGGTTTGGTTTTTATATATTTTTCACGGGTCGGGTCTTGGGTTTATGCAAACCTGGCCTAGAACCGACCCGTTGTCATCTCTAATTATTACTATATATCTGTATATATAATTTACTTGTATTCTGCAGTTTTCAAGTTACTAAATAATTTATTATTTTACCGGTTAGATTTACAGTTTTCGTTAATTGGTAATTTTATTCTTGGAAACACGAAATTAATTTCAATTTCAGTTCCAAATGTTTTGGAATCTAGAATTTCATTCCGATTCCAAAGTGTTGGAAATTTCATAATTTCAGAAATTACATGCGTGCGTTTTTTTAATTTTAAAAAAAAATCGGAAACTTTTATAAAATTTCATAAATGAGAACCCCCATTTTGATAAAACTAAAACTCCCTCCTTGCCTCAATAGTTCACTTTTGTCATTTGCACACATATTAAGAAACTTAATAAATATGCATAGATAGTAACAAATTATGTTATATCAAATTACCAAAATGCCCATGCCATTAATTGATTTTTAAGTAATTATATTTCAATTAATTATGAGTGAGAAAAGGGCAAAATTGAAAAAAATTGTAATTAATAATTCATTAGAATAGTAAAATGACAAACAATTTGAAGCATAAAAAAGTGACAACTATTAAGGGAAGGAGGGAGTAACTACTAATTTGATAAATTCTAATATAATAAATATAACTATAATGATTTCAAGTGCACTAGGCATCGATTTTCAAATGCCACAAAATTCCAAACCAGTAGAAATGATAAAAACAAAACACCAAAATAACTCTTTTAGAATAGATCTAACACAATAGCTCATCCAAAATAGATTAACTATAAGACTTAAGTAAAATTTTGAATAAAAATGACCGATATCATAATCATGTGATTCGGAAAGAAATTAGGTCCAAGGAGCAGGGCTCTATTCAGCCCATCCTGGAAAAATACACCATGGGCCCTTCAAGTCAAGGCATGACCACTAAAGAAAGGCCTAAATGCCAAAAGCCCAAAAGTTTGGGCTCTCCTCGAGCTCACCAAGCTTTCGGGAGGATTAGTATCCGAGGAGTTTGAGCGGGCCCCTTGCTGGGATAAAGGGGGCGCAAGGATCCCACCACGGACATTAGCGACCACAGACATTGAATGGCGCATTAATGAAAGACTGACAGTTATTCCTTATGCCCATATCGATGCATTAAATGCTCTCACACCTGTATTTAATGCCCGAATGACTAAGGCCGTCGCTAACAAGAGAGACTTGCATACCAGGCTACTCATGGTAATCCGGAAGAGAGCGGCCATAGCCGTCCCGAGTAATGATGATCCTAGCTGTCCGGCAAGGGCGGGAAAGCGGCGGGTTCATCTGCCCACCCAGGATTCACGCAAAGCTCATGTCAATGTACTATAAATACAGGTTCACACCCACCAGCATCCAGTTTCTATCTATCTTTCTAAAACCTCTTAGCATAACTCACTCCACCTTCAAACTATTCTCGATTCGCTGACTTGACCGTCGGAGTGCTAAATTAAACGTCAGTCATGTTCTTTCATGTGCAGAGTAAGCTATTCACCCGGCTTCTCATTCATAACCAGACACTCGGGCGATAGAGGTGGTTTTTGGGCGGATCGTCATGTATATGAGTTAAATTCATAGATAATATGATAAACAATGGTATAATATTCAACGGATTTTCTAACACTTTAATACGTCAAAATTCTCTAACATGAATTCAATCAATCTTTATTATACCTCTTCTTCAATGCCTAAACTGAAATATGATTAAATATTTACTTGAGTTTGCACTAAGTAAAATAAAGGGAAATGTTTTAGTTTGCACCCCTGAATTATGAGGTATGTATCAAACACCCAACTGTATTACAAAATGTAAAAAAATGCCTTTTATTTTCAATTCATTTCTGATGTGATGATGTGACAAGTTGACTTTTTGCAATAATATTCTTTTGTCATATCTACCCCTCAATTTTTTATATCTATATGTATAAAGATATAAAATCCTGCCATATCATTAGCCTACTAAACCCACTAACTAAAATCCAAAAGAAGGAAAATAAGAAACCCATCAAGTTAAATGAAAATTCATAGTTACACATACACAGATAAAACTAAAAAACCAACTATAGATACATATAATACCGTATTTATAAGGTTAGAAAAAAAAATACAATATACAATATACAATCATTTTTTTCATCAATAAAAACAATATACAATCCCCATATTTTCTTTTGCGAACAAATCTTACGATCCCCCTCACCGCGGCAAAAGTGCGAGAGACAGCCCATCAGGGCCACAACCATACCCCTTATCCTAATTTATGACCGCCATTGTAACTACTCTACTCCTGTAACTCTCACACGAACACTGTATCTTCAATGCCGACTCAGACGATCCGCTCTCCGACTCATCCAAACACCGCTGCATCACCGCCGTGTTGAAGGCAATTAGGCCTCGCAAACATTTCTCGTTTTCATGAGAGGGGAATTGACGGGAAAATAGGAAGAAGGATTGACAAGAAAAGGGGAAGAATAATTGGATGATTCAACTCACACTCCAATCCAAGGTATACTTCGCACAAAAAAATCAATTTATTTCCGAGAATTAGGATTTAATTTACTTGCTCACTTTTTTTTTTTTTTTTTTGTGAAAAACTGAGGGGATGATTGGTTTCATTTCCAAAACCAATTTCCAGTTCTATACTATTCATAAAACTGAGATCATGTTTCACAATTTTATCCAGAAAAACTCATTTTTTCTTATCAAATTTCTATTGAAAATACACTATTCATATTTATTTCAATTTTCAAACCTACTAAAGCCTACTACTAACCTATATATTTTATTCCATCAACTCATTTATCTATCATCATTAATATTTACACTCTCTCTCCTCTCATTTATCTCTCCTCATTAATATCTACACTCTATTTCCTCCCAATTTCTCTATCTACTACTACTACTACTACTAAAAATAATAATAATAATAATAATAATAATAATAATAATAATAATAATAATAATAATAATAATAATAATAATAATAATAATAATAATAATAATAATAATAATAA